CGAGCATGAGGTTTTTTCATCACTCGGTAGGATTTTTGAAACTTAGGCGAGTACTATACTGCAGCTAAGCCTCCGAGTGTGAGGTTTACACATCACTCGGTAGGATTTTTGAAACTTAGGCGAGTACTGGACTGCAGCTAAGCCTCCGAGTGTGAGGTTTGCTCATCACCCGGTAGGATTTTTGAAACTTAGGCGAGTACTGGACTACAGCTAAGCCTCTGAGAGTGAGGCTTGCTCATCACTCGGTAGGATTTTTGAAACTTAGGCAAGTACTGGACTGCAGCTAAGCCACCCACTGGGGGATTTCAGAAACATATGTAAACAATCGACAATCTTTTTAGAAGACTGTAAAACTCTTGTCTTTGATAAACAAAATACAAAGGTGTGTTTTATTACATCTCAGCAGACTGAGTGTTTAAGTATAAACGGGGCGGAGCAGCTCCGCATTCCAGACGCGTGGCTCGTCTTTCTTGTGCTCGACGTCGTAAAGGTGGTACGCTCCATTGTGGAGCACTCTGGTGACCACGAAGGGCCTTCCCAAGAGGGAGCAAGCTTGTGTGGTTTGTGCTGATCCACTCGGAGAACTAAGTCTCCCTCTTGAAATGCTCGACCCCTCACATTTCTGGCATGGAATCGACGCAGATCTTGCTGGTAAATGGTTGATCGGATCAAGGCCATCTCTCTTTCTTCTTCAAGGAGGTCAACTGCATCTTGTCGCGCTTGTTCCGCTTCTTCCTCTGTGAAAAGCTCGCCTCGGGGTGCATTGTGGAGCAAGTCACTCGGAAGTACAGCTTCGGCTCCATAAACCAAGAAAAATGGGGTTCTGCCAGTCGACCGATTGGGAGTTGTCCTCAATCCCCATAATATTGATGGAAGTTCATCGACCCAGGCTCCTACCACGTGTTTGAGGTCATGCATCAGTCGAGGTTTCAGTCCTTTGAGAATCAATCCATTTGCCCTTTCAGCCTGTCCATTCGACTGGGGGTGAGCGACCGAGGCATAGTCGACTCGAGTACCTTGTGAAGCACAAAAAGTCCTGAACTCATCAGAATCAAAGTTTGATCCGTTGTCAGTGATGATGTTGTGGGGAACACCATTTGGTGAACTTGTCGACTGCTACAAGCACATGAGTGAATCCACTCCTGCTAGTCCTCAAAGGTCCAACCATATCCAATCCGCAAACAGCAAAAGGCCAGACGAGCGGAATGGTTTTCAGGGCTGACGCAGGCTTGTGAGACATGTTGGAGTAGAACTGACAACCTTCACATTTGTCGACTATTTCTTGTGCTATCTCATTTGCTCGAGGCCAGTAAAATCCCGCTTGGTATGCTTTGGCCACAATGGTCCGAGAGGACGCATGGTGACCACAGGTCCTTGAGTGGATATCATTGAGGATCACTCGACCTTCTTCAGGTGTTATGCATTTCTGGCAGACTCCAGTCACACTTTCTCTGAACAACTATCCTCTTATCACGGTGAAGCCCTTAGATCGATGGACGATCTGTCGAGCCTCTTCTTCATCTTCTTGGAGTCCTCTTCTAAGAATGTATGCGATATATGGTACCGTCCAATCGGGGGTGATGACCAAAACTTCCATGATCAAGTCGACCATGGCTGGAATCTCGATTTCAGTCGGATCGGTGACACTCTTCGGCTATGGGGGCTCTTCAGTGAAGGGATCTTCTTGAATCGAGGGTGCATGAATATGCTCCAGGAACACATTACTGGGAATGGCTTCTCTCTTGGAGCCTATCTTTGCCAGATCATCGGCTGCTTGATTTTTCAGTCGGGGGATGTGATGGAGCTCTAACCCCTCGAACC